TAAATACCAAGTAGAGGAATTTCTGGATCATAAAGTATTTCTATTTCCAACCTTCTGAGAAAGCACCATATTGTTTTCCAGAGTGGTTGCATCATTTTGCAATCCCACCAGCAATGTAGGAGGGTCTCAGTCTCTCCACATCCTTGCCAACACTTATTGTCTTCTTACTTTTTTGATCTTTGCTGTTATTGCTGATGTGAAATGATATCTCGTTGTTTTGATTTGCATCTCTCTAATGGCTAGTGATCATGAACATTTCTTCATATGTTTGTTGGCTGCTCGAATCTCCTCCTTCGTGAAGTGTCTATTCATGTCCTGTGCCCAGTTTTTAATTGGGTTATTTGCCCTTTTCTTGTAGAAGTGTTGTAGGTTCCTCTATATTTCGGAAATTAGTTCCTTGTGTGCTGTGTCATTGCAAAAGATTTTTTCCCATTTTGTGGGCTCCCTTTTTACTCTTTTGGTGAAGTCTTTTGATGGACATAAGTTTTTAATTTTTAGTATGTCCCATTGATCTATTTTGTCTATTTTTGTTTGTGTAATTTTCAAAATATTTGGTAGTCTATGTATGCCCTGAATTAGAGCCCTCACATTTGTCCCTATTTTTTCACTGATGGCCTTTGTAATTCTGGGATTCACATTTAGGTCTTTAATCCATGCTGAGTTAGTTTTTGTATAAGGCGTGAGGTAAAGGTCTTGTTTCAGTCTTTTGCATATCACTTTCCAATTCTGCCAGCACCATCTATTGAACAGACCATCTCCTCCCCATGCAATATAAGTACTTTGTCGAAAATCAGTTGGCTGTATGTGGATAGGTTAATTTCTGGATTCTCAATTCTGTTCCATTGATCAATGCAACTTTCATTATACCAATACCAGGCTGTTTTGACCACTGTAGCTGTGTAGTAAAATTTTAAATCAGGGAGTGAGAGGCTTCTCACCCTGTTCTTCTTAAGCAATGCTTTGCTTATCCTTGGTCGAAGCTATAAATCTTCACAGGAGCAGAAACCCTCATCTTTCTCCCTCAGAGTGGCTGGTGAATTCAAACTGCTGAACTCATAAACATGCATGCATGCACACTCACACACATGCACACAAATACATATACTTACACATGCATGCATAGGTGATCTGGTCAGTGTACCAGTCAGCCGGCTCCCAGGCCTGTCTGCATTGTCTGCAGTGTTGCACAGCCCAGCCCTGTGGTTGGTCTGGTCCCACGTCCAACTGCCAAGCATTCCTGGCAGGTGGAGTCTATAGGCCAGGCTAGTGGCACAGGGCAGGTGGAGGGGCTGCCCTGAGCTGCATGTGGCAGCCCCTGCATAAGGCCTTACCCAGAAGGCTCACCTGTTAATCTCTGATTTGCAGACCAGTTCAAAGCTGTACTCCTTGGCCTTGGTGGGCTGGAAGATGATGTCAAGCTGCAAACTTTCTAGTGGCAAGATTGTCCCAAACCCATCATTGGGTTGAATGTCTACAAACTGGTAAATGAAAAAAGCCACTGATGTCAAGATAGAAACTGTGATTATCTTTGCTGGGGGAGCTGTGTGGACATGAAGGTAGCAGGTGTGTGTGTGAGTGTGTGTACGTGAAAAATGTGAGCATATGACTGTGTGATGTGTGTATACATGTATGTTGTGTGATGGGTGTATATATGTATGTGTGTGTATATATGTATGGGGTGTATGGGTGTGCATGAGTGTGTGATGGGTGCATGTATGTATGGGGGTGTGACGGGTGTGTACGAGTGTGTGATGTGTGTATGTATGTATGGAGGTGTGATGGGTGTGTACGAGTGTGTGATGGGTGTATATGAGTGTGTGATGGGTGTATATGAGTGTGTGATGGGTGTATGTGTGTATGGGGTGTGTGATGGGTGTGTATGAGTGTGTGATGAGTGTATGTATATGGGGGTGTATGGGTGTGTATATGTATGGAGGTGTGATGGTGTATATGAGTGTGTGAGGAGTGTATGTGTATATGGGGGTATGATGGTAAGTATGAGTGTGTGATAGGTGTATATGTATGGGGGTGTGATGGGAGTGAATATGAATTTGTGGCATGTGCATATAAATGAAGGAACATAGCAGGTCATTTCTGAAGAGATATAGAAGATAAAAAGGTAGAACATTTAAAAATTAAAAAGAAAAAAAGGACTAAAAAGAATTGAAGCATGACTGGCAAACCTAGGGGAAAGGATCATGGGGCTGAGAGTGTGGCAGCCCAGGAGTAGGGCTTGGTGATGAGGGTTGGATTTGTCTTGCCTGCCCTGCAGGGCCCAGGGAGGCCTAAGTCCTAGAAGGAAGGGTGGGGGCATGAGCCCAACAGAGGGGCCCAATGGAGTTGAGGGAGGGCGAGACAGAACCCAAGAGGAAGAGGAAGAGGTGTCTGGTGGGGCTTGGGGTGTAGGGAAGAGGCTGGGCAGAGGGACAGAGGTGAGAGTGGAGTCCAGGGGAGGTTCTGAGGCCTGGCAGGGCCTGGCGCTTGGATCCAGAGCAGTTGTTGCCCATGATCTGGCCCCTACAGCATCCCTTGCTTGGGCCCCTTTTCCTGACCATGGAGTTACCTTGGGGAGTCTGACGAACCCAAACTCCTGGGGTAGGAGGGAGTGGTTGTGGAGGGTGACCTCGGTCTTAATAGCCTCGTAGATGGTACAGTAGCCAAAATCCACCTCTGAGGGGTTGATCTCCAAGTCGGAGGTGGTCACGATGGCATGGACGATGAACTCCACTGGCCTGATCTGGACACAAAGGGCAGAAGTGCATGCTGTTCACCTGTAGTTGGCTCTACCGCATATGTTCCCCAAAACAGCAAAGGCACCGTGAGAAAGAGCAGGCACCACTGCTGCCTTGTGGTAAGGGGACACCGACTCTTCAGGAACACAGAGTCTATGATACGTGTGTGTGTGCGCCGGGGCTAGCCAAGGCGAGTTGGAGGTTCTTGGTTTGCCCAAGCTCCTCACTGACCCACAGACCACCCCACCTCTCTCTGTGCTCTTGGTCCCTTGGCCAGGAGGCATCTTTGGTCACCAGACAGCTGGTCCTCAGGCTGGCTTTTCAGATCTAGAGCCTTACTTTTTGGAGGCCTCACAGTGCAGAGCCCAGCCCCCCAGAGCAACCTGTCTTCCTGGGACTTGGGAGTCAGGCACTGCACCCAGCATGGGGCCACACAGACCTGGTCAGCCACCCAGATGGTCATCGGGGCCTCCAGGACTCGAGTCTCCTTGTCAAAGAATTTCCCTGCATCTTTTGGGAGGGAGTGTCTGAAACAAAGCGGGTACATGCATACGGATTTTCCTCCTTGATGTTTTCTGAAATACCAGTGCATGTTTTTGGTCACAGTAGTGCTGAGACGCATGAAATGTGGCACTCTAGAGAAGACCCCGTGGTGGAGCTTTGGGGTGGGGTGACAGACACGCAGTGAGTCTCGCTGGGTGGAGCACCATCAGTGTCTGACTGGGGGACCTTAGCCTGTCCTGAACTGGACTCAAATCTACACATGTGCATTTATCATGTTTTAAATTAAGAAGGTATTTGCAACATAAGGGAATCTTCTCAAAAAAGCCTCTTTGGAAATGTACAGCTACTTGTTTGCTGTCTCATGATAAAAGGTTGCCAACGTCAAGATCGACGAATCAGAAGATCGAGTCCTGGTGGCGCACTGGGTAAGTGCTTGGCTACTAACAAAAAGGGTTGGCAGTTTCAGTTCACCCGGTGGCTGGGAAAACGTGGCCATTTGCTGCTGTAGGGACGTTCCCCTCTGTCCTATAGGGTGCTCTGGGTCGGAATTCACTAGCTGGCAGTGGGTACAAACGTGAGAACTCCATGTCATTGTGATGGGCAGCAGTCAAGGCTCATTGTGGGTGACAGCTCTGATGGGAACTAATGGCCTCATCCACCGTCCTCCTCTTCCCCCGCCCACTTCTCACCGCGGCAGGAACTTGAGCTGCACTGTGTAGGTGGACAAGGCTTGGATGTAGCCAGTCTCGGGCAGGAGCTCCATGTGTTCCCGAAGCTCCTTGCACACCTCGAACCTTAGGCGCAGGGCCGCCTTCGACCTGCAGGTGTTCGACAGTGAGACAGGGGCCTGTGGCCCTGGTGTCCAAGATGGCATTTCTGGAAATGGAATCTGTGAGCAGTCTTCAAAGCAAGAGCATCTCAACCGGAAAGTAGGGTCATCTCTCAGTCCTCAGAATCCAGCGATTCTAGGGAGAGGGTCTATGTATGGGGCACGGGGTGCAGGATTCCCAGGAGTTCTATCCTCCTCCTGCAAGGCTTGGGAAGAGGTGCACACAGGTCCTAACCCAGCCTCCCTTTCTTTTACCCTGTACCCTTTCATCCCAGAACTCTTAGAAATAAGCCCTTTTAGAAGGAACAAGGAGGGCAGGTGTTGTGGGATGAACTGTGTAACTCCCCTCACCTGTGAAATGAACTTGCTTGGAAATAGGGTCTATATAAAAATAAACAGTGTGTGTGTCTCTGTGTAGCTATCATTAGTAAAGTCAACATAAGCTGACATAGAGTAAGATGCCTTCTAACCCCATCTGAATGGCATCCTTGTGAAAGAAGACACAGACAGACACATGGGGGAGAGGAAGACAGCCATGTGACCACAGAGGCAGAGGCTTCAAGTCTAGGAAGGGTCCTCCCCTAGAGACTTCGGAGAGAGCAAGGTCCTGCCAACACCCTGAATTTGGACTTTGGGTCTCCAGAGCCACAAGAGAATAAATTCCTGTTATTTAAAGTTGTCCACTTTGTGGTTGATAGTTTTGTGGTGCAGAGGAGAACTGCTGCACAGGGTTTTCAAGGCTGTGACTTTTCAGAAGCAGATCACCAGGCCTGACTTCTGAGGTAACTCTGTGGAGTAGGGGGGTTTGAACTGCCAATCTCTCCATGAACCATCCAGTGCTTAACCATTTGTGCCACCCAGGGTGAATTTGAATGAGTTGGAATTGATTGAGAGCATGTAATAACTGTGATTTCTTGTTCTGAAGACTCAGGGAGGAGGGCCTGCGTGCTTTCTAGAAATGTGGTTCTGTGACCCCTCCCATTTTCCTGACATTCCTTCCAGAAGACATGGTGGAGGGGAGGGATGGTGCAGGGAGAGCAGAGGGGTCTTCCAGGTGTTGTTTCACTGAGCTGCTGAGGCAGTATGGTGCTGCCGTACTAGTTCTTGAAGACAATGCCCACCTGGCCCATGGGCACTGCTGCTTCCCAGACTTACAGATACTTTCCAGTGAACAGCAACAGGCCTTTCAGACTCCACATAGCACTGACCCCCAGCCTTCCTGAGGAGGGCAGGACACCTTGAGGTGATGTCACCCCCATCCCCACACATATTTGAGCAGACACTGTTCAAGTCTATGTTTGTAGTATGTCAGTCTGCTGTGTGGTGTATGTGCTGGGGCTTTCGCGATGTCCTGGGCCTGACTTTGGGGCAAGAGTGAGAGACAAGACACAGGCACGCTAAGGCCACGGTGAGTGACAACGGCACTCTGATCCTTGACCTGCCTCAGTCAGGGCCAGCTGGAGACAGGGGAATTTCCCCTTAGCCAGTAACAGGGACACCTCCCCCAGGACTGCATGGAAGCTGGGCCTGCTTCTTTCTCTGTTCCCGCCCTGGACTGCCTCTGAGTCTCTTGGGCTGACACCTGTGTTTCCACTTAGTGTAAAGTGTCTCTCTCCTCCATTAAGGCCCTTGTTATTTCAACAGGAGGGGTGGTCTCTAAGCTAAGTAGGCAGAAGGCCCAGCCGCAGGGCACTGGATCCTTGGTCCACATGAAACCAGGAGGTGTGGTTCAGAACCTCTCTCCTTCATCTGTCTCCTGGCTGCCCAGGCCCGATGCCCAGACCCCAGCTCTGCACCCCCACTGCCCTGAGAGTCCTAGCCACAGAAGACTCAAAGGCAAAAGTGAAGTCAGTTGAGGGACAAGCACAGGGAGCTGGGTCCTGAAAGGTAACCCCCACCCCCACATGAGTGAGCCTGAGGAGCTCAGGTGTCTTTCCCAGGAGGTAAATAGAAAGCTTCCTCCTAGCTTCCTGTCCTTTGAACAAGAGTCCTGAACCAGCTCCACTGCTTCTGCTTGTCTCAGATACGGTTAGCTCTTCTTTAGAAACCCAGTTAATATCTTTTGCTTCATCCCTTTCCATAAAATTGGCCCAAAACACATTAAACAGGGAAGAGATCGTCTCTTTAACAAATGGTGCTGGTAAAGCTGGATATCCATTTACAGAAGAAGATAAGACCTATATATCACACCTATCCAAAAATGAACTCAATGTGGATTAAATATCTAAATGTAAAACCTAGAACTATAAAGTTCATGAATGAAAAAATTGGGACAAGCTTAAGGGGCTCTGATAAATAGCATAAATATCCTATCAATCATAACTGAAAACACACAAATAGCAGAAGACAGACCAAACAGAGACCTCAAAAGATTATACCAAAAAAGTAAAAAGAGAACCCATATATTGGGAAAATTTTTTTTGGCAATAACAGACAAGGGACTGATCTCTACAATGCATAGAAAGCTTCAATATCGCAACAAGAAAAAGATAAATAGTCCAATTAAAAAGTGGGCAGAGGACATGAACAGACACTTCACCAAAGAAGACATTCAGATGGCCAAAAAACATAAGAAATGCTCATGAGCATTAGTCATTTGTTGTTATTAGGTGCCATCGAGTTGGTACTGACTCACAGAGACCTTATGCACAGCAGAACAAAACACAGCACAATCCTGGGCCAACCTCACAACTGTTGCCACGTTTGAGTCCATTGATGATGTCACTTGGCCAATCCATCTCGTTAGGGGTCTTCCTCTTTTTCTCTGA